TTCCAAGGTCTACTTCAATTATGTCCAGGAATATTCAGGATTCCTGAAATACTCTCTGTGTTTTCTCCAGCCTCCAGACCTTTGCTTGTGCTGTTCACATTGCCTGCTCACCGTGACCATGTAATCCTGCAACTGCTCAAGGCCCAGGCCGCTGTGGTCGCTGCCGCTGCAGTGGGAGCCGTGGAAAGAGGGTGTGGACGTGCCACTGTAACACGCTTCAAATGTATCCTGGGAGCCATTGCTGCAGAGACAGGCAGAATGGGGCTCTCACTCACCTTCCTCTAGCTCCTCTCCCTACAGCAGGTGGGGGTGGGAGGGCACAGCTACTGATGCTCTGGGCTTCATCCTAGATCCCATTTTGGCCTCCAAAGCCCCACTTATCTGGCCCTTGGCTGCCTCTGAAGCCTCATCTCACCCTTGCTCTGTGTGCTCAGGCCTCTCTGCCATCTTCTCTAATACTTCAAGTACCTCTTTACCTCTGGGCCTTTGCACATGCCGTTCCCTCTGCCTGGAATGCCTCTCTACCCTATCTTTTGTCCAACTAACGCTTACTCATCATTGGAGCTTAAATGTCACCTTCTCGGGAAAGTTTTCTCTGACCCTCCCCTCCCCATGACTGGGTTGATCCTCTGTCAAATGTGGTCACAAATTCATAAGTCTACCCATGACACGCAAGGCCTTCCCAGATCCTCCCCACCGACATCCAAGGTGGCCTCCTGGCTGCTCCTCAAATGCACCAAGCTTTGTCCTCCTGCTTCAGAGCCCTTGCACTTTCTGCCCCTCTGCCCGGAGTGCTCTTCCCCTCTCCTCCTCTGGGCCTCGGTTCAAGTTTCATGAGCTCTGAGAGGCCCTCCCGACCCCCAAAGAGGTAGGCTCCCCATGGGTCTCTCTCAGTGCTCTGAAGTGCTCGTTCTCTTTAGTTATCGTTAATGCTTATTTCTGTTAAATAATGACTTCATCGTCTCCTGTGCTAGACGCTGCAAGTGTGCTTGCATGATAAACCATGCAGGAGCAGGAACCTTGGTTTCTTATTTGTTGAGTACCTACTGCGTGCCAGTCACGGGTCTCATCCTTGTATGGTTCCCCACCGTAACCCTAGCACACAGCACAGTGCCTGGTACATGAAAGGTACTCAATAATTCTTGCTTAATAAAAAAATCAACCTGCCCAAGATCTCATGGTTCATGAGTTTGAGCCCTGTGTCGGGCTCTGTGCTGACAGCTCAGAGCCTGCTTCAGATTCTGTGTCTCCCTCTCTCTCTGCCCCTCCCCCGTGCATGCTTTGTCTCTCTCTCTCAAAAATAAATGAAACATTTTATTAAAAAAAAAGAGTAAAAAAAAAAATTAACCTGCCTTCTGGTTTCTAAATTGTTCCAGAACCATCTTCTATGATTAGCTACAGAAAAGCAGTGTAGCATTGTGGTTAGGGGGTGTGGACCTAGAGCTAGGCTGCTTGGGTTCAAATCTGAGGCCTACAGCTTGACCTTGGGCAAGCCTGCTTAGCTTCTCTATTCCTCAGTTTCTCCATGTGTAAAATGGGATGACAAACATTGACGTCATCAGAATTAGAGGAGTCTATTCGTACAGCGCTCAGAGTCATAGACTAGAAGCAATAAATAAACAGCAGCCACTGTAATGTTGCTATGTAGATTTTTCTTGGCTGGCTCAGTTGGCAGAGCATGTGACTCTTGATCTTGGGGTCATGAGTTCAAGCCCCACATTGGGAGTAGAGTTTACTTTAAAAAAAAAAAATGAAGTGCTTTATAGAACAGCACTAGGCACACAGCAAGCACAAATGTTAGTCATTATCATGACTCTAGCAGATCCAGATCTGGCAGCAGATATCAGGTTAAGGACTAGCCCAAGGGCACACAGTATAAGGAAGCCACAAATATTGACACAGAAGAGGGAAAAAATAAAAGTAGGGCATATATTAGTGGCAGAGCCTGATATCTGTCAAGCCAGAGGCCTTAGTAAGAGAACTAACTTTGACCAACTTGTTCCAGTTTGCCTGGGACTTTCCTGGTTTTAGTATAGAAAATCCCAAGTCCTGGGAAACCCCTCAGTGCTAGCGTGGTTAGTCATACCAAACAGAACCCTGGACAATATGGCCAACTGAGTTTTGTTTTGTTTGTTTTGTTTTACCTCCTACATTTTCCAGCCTTGAGGCGGCTAGCTGTGACCATGTGACCAAGTCCTGGCCACTAAGACATATGCAGAAATCATCAGGCCAGGATCCGAGCGAAGCTCTTTACAGACATCCCTGGCATTGCCATTGTGATAACTGGAGCTCTGACCATCATCTTGGTCCATGAGGTAACTCTGAGTACGGAACCAGGTGCCGAGGACCTGTACCCTCGATGACCATAAGGGCCATAAACTCCTGATCTGTTTTACGTAAG